GCCCCTATGAATAAGATATAAGAAAAGGCCATAAAGCTGTCTCACTCTCTGTCACGTGAAGAGATAATAAGCAGACATATTGGAACCCAGGAAGAGGGACCATACCAGAACAGATTATGATCTTAGACATCCAACCTCGAGAACTGTGAGAAATATGTTTGTGTCACTTATAAACTTCTCAGTGTCTGATGCTTTCCTATTGTATCCCAAACAAAGCACCTAGCTTTTGATCCCTTTGTTTTTTTGTTTTGTTTGGTTTGGTTTTGGTGGTGGGTTGGGGGGATATATTTGGGATTGAACTCAGGGGCACTCAGCCATTGAGCCACATCCCTAGCCCTATTTTGTATTTTATTTAGAAACAGGGTCTCACTGAGATGCTTGGCACTTTGCCTTTGCTGAGGCTAGCTTTGAATTTGAAATCCTTCTGCCTTAGCTGTCCAAACCACCAGGATTACAAGCATGCACAGCTGCACCCTCAATACCTTTGGTTTTTAAGGGACAAATAAATCCAGACTTGTGGATGGCTATTTAAGCCAGGAACCAGGAGAGCTTTAGGCTGTGTATAAATCTAACCCTTATTGCTATCATATCTAATTCTTGCCTTTTACCTTTGAGGTTAGAGAGGTCAAGGTTATTTTCATTTTTGACAGTTACAAAGGCAGATTTATCTCACATAGTATAATATGGGGTAATAAGATTTTTTTAAAAAGCATCCAAAAGCCACTGATATTTGGTCCTGTTTGACCTTCAGTAAGTCACTTGATCTCTTTTCATATATAAAAAAGATCCAGAATAATATGTTATGAACTATATTGTGTCCCCCACCCTGTTCATATGTTCAAACCCTAACCTGTATTTGGAGAAAGTTTTCAAGATGAGAACTAAGGTTAAGTGAGGTCATAAAGGTGAAGCCTTGATCCTATAGGACTGGTGTCCTTATAACAGAAATACACAATTGTTTTCCTTCTCCATGCATGCAGAGAAAAGGCCATTTGAAGGCAAAGTTAGAGGGTGGCCTCCTGCAAATCAGGAAACAAGACCTCATCAGAAACCAACCCTGCTGGTTGGGTTTCTGGCCTCCAGAATTGTAAGAAAACAAATTTCTATTGTTTAAGCCACCCAGTCTGTGTGTGTGCATGCGTGTGTGTGTGTGTGTGTGTGTGTGTGTTGATTGATGGCAACGCAATCAAACCATCAAATCATCCAATGAAGTTAAAGCACCTAGCATATAATGGTCCAAATATTAATTTCTTTCCTCAGCATCTTCCACAATTAAGACACACATATTCCAATATCTATTACTCTTTTCCAATCAGATAGTTCCACAAGTGTCTCAAGGTAAACAATTTCTAAAACAAATGTTTCATCTTCTCCTCCAAACATGACTCTTCCGGTCACCTCACTGGAAATCTCCATCATCGTGTTTCTTCTTGTTTGCATCTTGAATCTTACACATCTCCAGGTCTGTTCATTCTGTCACCCTATGTATCCCTTACTTCTGCTCTTCCTCTCCAAGCCCTATTGCAAACATTTCTTCCTCTTGGTTTATTTTAAGAGATCTCTTGACCCCCCTGACGCAAATAAGTATCCTTGACCAAAGTGTCTATCTTTCGAACTATTGAGAAGTTCTCTCTCCAAATTATCAACTTAAAATATCTTCCAAAACTTACAATGGCTTCCCAGTTTTACAGCATCTGGAACTGCTTGGTTACCAAATCAATATTTAAAAATTATGTGTGTTATGTTAAAGTCTGCAAAGTCTCTCTTATGCTTCATATCTGCTTTTAAAGGAAGAAGAGAAGTGTTCTTACTTTAAAAGTAAGTGATATTAGTTTTCCATAACTATGTTAGAGTCTATATGTATATGTGTATATGATTCCAAGGACATAAATTAGGAATCCAGATAATTTAAAAATAGACATCAAGTTTTGAAGAGGATAAGGTAAATGGTTTTCTGGATCCCTTAAGACTATGAGGATCATTGATGTCATTTTATTAATTTCTTCATTAATTCACTCAGCAAATATAAGTGGGTAACATTTGCAAGGCTAAATAATGAATAATGCAGTGAACTAGGAGCTCTCACAGAATAGAATACTGAAGCAAAAGGGCTAGGTGTTTAGGTTCTAGATAGGACTGTAATAGCCAGTGGTCAGGCTGGGAACTTTCCCAAATTAACTTCTTACCTCTTTCTTCACCCTTCTTTTTGTACTTCTTGGTTTTTCTTCACAGAAACTTTAAATTGAATGACCTATAAGCAGGGAGTTCAGTCTAATAGGAAAAAGGGAAATTGAGAGAAATCAAAACATGTATCAGTACATTTCAATTTGGATGAAATGTATCTAAGATATGAAGGCTGACTTCCTAGAAGGCTCTCAGAACAGGTGTTGATCAAAGCTGAATAAGCAAAGATGCAATTGTTTAGAGTTGCTGCCATTTAATTTGGGGCAAGTCATGAAAGAAGATAAGACTTTGAGCCCAAGGGAGCAGGTGAAGCCCTTGTAGTTCCAATTCTCTAGCAAGGTCTCTGCTGGGGAAGTCTTTCTCCTAGAAGTATGGTTATTTCCCATTAGATCATCACCTTCTAAGCCACGCTCCAAAATTTTTTGTGCATCCCATCCTGTCAAAATGTTTTTTTTTTTTCTGTATTGTTTTCCTTTTGTTTACTAAGAATTAACCCACTAGCTACACCCTTAGCCCTTTTAAATTTTTTTTATTTTAAGCACACTAAGGTGCTTAGGACCTTGCAAAGTTGCTAAAGCTGGCCTTGAATTTGTAATCCTCCAGCCTCAGCCTCATGAGTTACTGAGATTATAACAGTGCACCACCTCTCCAGCAAAGATATTTCACTCTTAAGTATATTTAAGATTCTCCTGGAGGATCCTTCCAGCCTTATCTCCGACAACTCCTGTATAAAACTAGATTGTCAAAAGAACTGTTCCCTGGGTAGATTCTACTGTGCTAAGCAGCTTCCATTCCATGATCTACCTCTCTCCCTGCACCGCCATCTGGCCCTAAGCAGAGTCACTACATAAACTATCATGCAGAATTTTTGCATACCTTTCCCTAATATGGGGAATGAATACTATGTTAGTGGCTATGTCCTTCCATATTGAAGAGGTTATTCCCAAGGCGTCATACCTTTTATTTTCCTTTAAAATCTTAAATGATTCTTGCCTTTATGAGTTACTCTTCTCTCCAACAGTCTTGTCTCAGCCAAAATAAAATAGAACTCACCTTTAAATTTATGGAAGCAAAAACTTTTGCCATTGACTATTTCAGATTTGATTCAATAGCTTCTCTGCTTCTGGTGATCTAAAAAGTAAACAACTAAAAAATTTTAAACATTCTCAGATTCTATGCTGAGTTCCTTATTCATACAACTCAATCATTGGTATCTTCTCCAATTTATAGTTCAGAGCAAAAATTCAAATTGTCCAATTAACAGCTAAGATACAAACCTATAACTGACTCCAAATAAATTCACTGTTAAATTCTCATCTAGATAGTATTATGTATGACTTGGACACCATTTTATACAAGCAAAAGTAATGAGTTACTGCAGTGGTCCTCAAAATGTGTGCTCAAGGAGCAAATCAGCAGCTCTTACTAGAAATGCAAATTGGCTAAGGCCCAGACCTACTAAATAAGCAACTCTGGGGATAGATCCACCAATCTGGTTTAACAAGCTCTCCAGGTGATTGTGATGCATGTTGAAATTGAGAATCACTGAAGTAGATGTCCCTACATGCTCCCACAGCCCCTTGTGCTTGCTTTACTACTTAACCTAAGTTCCTTGAAGCTCTCTTATTTAATGTTTTATTTCTGCCACATATATTAAATGATTGAATGAATAAATAAGAGCATGGAAATCAGGTGACTTTTTAAAAAATATTTTTTAGTTTTCAATGGACCTCTATTTATATGTGGTGCTGAGAATAGAACCCAGTGCCTCACACATTCTAGGCAAGGGTTCTACCACTGAGCCACCACCCCAGCCCCAATCAGGTAACTTTTAACAACACATTTGGCTCACTGGTTAGGGCAGAAGAACTTTCAGCAATACTTAAGAAAAATAACCTTGGAGGTTTGTTTTTCCCAAATACAAGATTTAAAATATAACAAACAAATTCTGTATTTAAAGATGAGTCCTCTGGGGATATAGCTCAGTGGCAGAACACTTGCAAAGTCCTTGGGTTCAATCCACAGTACCTCAGGGAGAAAGAGTGGGGATGGTCTGCCAAAGAATAAAAGGATTTAATGTTTGGTAAGCACCTGAATAATGCTGGAAATTCAGAATTTGGAGAGGAGGAGCAGCTAGCATATTTTCATCAATGAGACTGTACTCTGATGCACTACCTACCAGATGTACATTATTCAATGTCCACTAACTACCACAGAAAGTTACCATGCTACTTATCTATTTGTTCTCAGCTTTGGGGCTCTAAGAAATGTAAACTAAGTCAAACTGGGATTACACTAAAATCTGAAGAGCACTTGCTTTACTTTTATAGAGAATACAAATCTATCAAAAATAAAAATGTAAACTATAAATTCCAGCAATACAGAGGTTTTGTCTTTTGCAAGACCCTGTGGTTGCTCTCAAAATGGACAAACTTAAAAAGTGGGGTTGGTTCTAGTCAGAAGCTGTTCCAGACACAAAATTAATAACTTGACAGTAGATCCTTAAAAGGGCCCTACAATCATGCACTGCTACAAAGTGACTTGGCTATAAATAACAGGTAGTAAAAGATCAAGTGTTTTGTAAAAGATAACTATAATCGCCTAATACTTGGAAAATATTTCCTGGATATCCTTTTGGATGAAAGTGTTGTCAACAAGGCTGAAATCTATGGCCCTGAACCCAGTGCAAAGCCAGGATGGAGGCAAAGTTCAGGTTTGAGGAAATCAAAACTGGTATAACAAATGATTCGTCTAAGTTGTGATTTTTAGATCTAAATCATTAAAACAATATCCCAAAAGAAAAACAGAAGGTAGTATTATGCAAAATATTTCATTCTTTATTTTTGTGGATAATTGGTCATTAATACAGCAGGAACTGATAGGATTATAAAAGATACCAAAAAAATCAGAAGAATGTTAAGAGTTTAATAGAAATAAAACCTGAGCTAAAGGCTGATCAGAGACGTGTAACACCTGGCACCTTTCTGATGGACATTAAGAAACATTGTTAACTTTATTAAATAATTCCTATAGTATAAAAAGTCAAAATTTTAAAGGAGCTCCAATGTACTTACACATTAAATGAATTTTGCTGTCAACAAATATTTGTCTAAGAAAACCAGGATAATTAAAAGCTCATAAATCTTGCTGGCAGGAAGGCCTATAAATTCCTGTTTTGATTTTTTTTTTTTTTTCCAGAAGCTGAAATTTTGTTGATAGAATATGATGCTTATTCATGTAGTCTAGAAGGCTGGCTTAGTTTGTCAAACATGTACCAAAAGAGGCCATGGACATCAATCAATATAAATCCATCCCAACTTCAAGAAAACCAGCAATACAGCAGTAATACCAACACAAAGAACAGTATTAGTAGAAATGGGAGACTTGTGGTTTAATTCAGTTCTCACTTTGGATTCCTTAGAATATGGTGAAAAACAGGGACTTAAGTAGAAGAGAATAAAAACAAAACTAACATAGATGAGCCTTGTTGATTAAAAAGTCTGTGAACTTGAATACATTTTATTTAGTAGAGTCACACTTATAAACTAATGGTTAATATACTACAAACTTTTACAAACATAAACTCTCCTAATGTCAGATAACTTCAAAGCTAATGAAACTAATTCCTTCTCCCTTTCTTTTCATTCCTTCCACAGAAGTCTTAAAACTGAGTAATCATTGGCATGCCTGCACTTTCACAAATGTCATGAAAACATGATGCTCTTTGTCAAAATAATGCAGGAAGCAATTTCAAGTGAGATCAAGGATCTTATATTTTCATTTTTTGTGCTCCATGTTACATAAAAATAAGGTCAACTGGTCTTTATTTCAGCCCTATAATGTCATTAAACTTTCAATGTCTCCATGCTAAAGAAGAATCCAGTATCTAAGTGCTCTACTATAGTATCCCAAATTCTAAGAGATAGCCTATGTCTTTACACTTTACTTTTTTTTAAAGAGGGCTGAAGCACTGCCCTTAACTTGGCGGAGACCAGCCACTGACTTCCTTCCTGTACCAGCTTTCCAAGAGGATACTAAGTGAGTTTTTGCCCTGATGTTTTTACCCCGGGCTTTATGTGGCTTCTCTTCTTTGTGCACCTTCATGTGCTGCCTCAGATGAGAGCTCTGGCTGAAGCACTTGCCACATTCACTGCACTGGTAGGGTTTCTCCCCGGTATGGGTTCTCTGATGCTGAATAAGGTGGGAACTCTGGCTGAAACATCTGCCACATTCATCACACTGATAGGGTTTTTCTCCAGTATGAATTCTCTGGTGCTGAATGAGGTTTGAACTTTGCTTAAACCTTTCTCCACACTCATCACATTTATAGGGCTTTTCCCCAGTATGGATCCGTCGATGCTGAATGAGATTAGAACTTTGAAAGAAACTTTTCCCACAATCAGCACATTTATGGGATTTCTTTCCAGTATGGATCTTCTGATGTTGAAAAAGAGTTGAACTCTGACTAAAACACTTCTCACATTCTGTGCATTTATAGGGTTTTTCATCCAAGCTTCTTCTCAGTCTACTCAAGCCTGAATCAAAACGAACAGTCATTCCCCATTTCTGCCGCTGCCGAACTGTTTTACGCTTGTTTTCATAGGCTTTTCCTTGGTTTGAGCTTCGAGAAATACCCCCTTTAGGTTTTCCTAACCTCATGGTGAATAGCCAAGTGTATTCGTTAAAGAGTCTACTGTCTTCTTCTGAACTAAGGTTTCATTTCCTAGCGCTACAAAGCTCAGTTTTCTGTGGGTAGAATGAAAAATAAAAACAAATTACTAATGATCTGTTATTCAACTTTAATGCCTTTACAAGCCATTGAAATTACATTCATTTTTAAATTAAAACCATACTCAATACAAATGAAAAAATAATTCTGAAGGGAAAAATATTTGCATAATAATTCTAGAGGATAATGTGATAAGGGAAAATATAATTTTTTAGGTACTATTAAATGAGTACACTATTTTGATGGACTAAAATATGGAGAGAAGATAAGCAGTTAATGGGGAGAAATAACTTCAAAATACAATCTTTTGTAATAGAATCTCTTTATGGGTCTTTTTGTTTTGTTTTGTTTTTTGGCCGAGCTGGGGATTGAACCCAAGGCCTTGTATATGCAAGGCAGGCACTATACTAACTGAGCTACATCCCCAACATCCATTATGTTTTAATATGTACTCTCTTGTTCAACTTTTTATTTAATAGTGACTATCTAAAGCGTCCAAATCTGAAGGAAATGACAAATCATACTACTTTATGATATATTCCTCTCTATTCTTATTTATTTGGCGATTCCACTTTTACATCTACAGGTAACAACCCAGGTCCATGTAGCATACTGTTTTGAAAGTAAAACCTACTCTGTAAGGAGTTCTAAAGGAGTCTTACCTTAAATACTAGAAGAGTAAAATCTCAAATAATAGATGTTTTATTATAACTTTTTTTAGATTGAATAATCCAAGAATTCAAAGTTTCTAAGAGAAACTTCAACAGAAAGTTTATAAGGTAGCAGAAAGTTTAAAACTGAGTAGAAAAAGCATGGTAGGTAGAATATGTGAAAAGGAGAAAGGGAAGAAAATAATCTTCATGTAAAAATAGGATGGCATTTTAAAAATAGCCAAATGCTACAAAATTAAAATTTTCAAGTAAATACTTTTATTTACTTATAGAGTTGCCTCAGCGTTGTTTAAAATAATCAAAACAACAGAGAAAACTCCACAAATTCCAAATAGGTGAGATGTGGGTGAAGCAAGGACTACAAAAATAATAAAATTATGGAAATTATTTTCTGAATCTTGTCAGGAAGTAGACTTTACAACAGGAGTAACTATCCTGAGTTTCTCTACATAAAAGCATATAAACCAAGTAAATGAAAACATAAATAACATCTTTTTCTTTTTTGCCTTTTTTCATTTTAGCATATAATAGAGACTCCAGGCCTAATAGTGTCCGGGACTTTTGTGGGTGGGGATTTTCAATAATTATATATGCTATAATTATGGTATCAGAAAGTGCAAATTGTAGAAAACAAAATTAGAGCGAGCACTACCCATTTCTTAACTTTCTCAAAACATTTACAGACCATCTAAGATACATTGTATTAGGTGCATAGCATTCAAAAAACAGCTACAATGATAATTGTACTTTAAAAAATAAACCACGTGTCTACTTTGATATTAAAGAGGTCAGATCTGGTCAGAAACTCTTGAGATTATCAAATATACCTACCGTTGAAAACATCATACTAACAGGAAGCCTATGTGCCAGCCACTGAGCTTATTTAATTCTGGGCTAGGTCTCTAGTTCTCATAGCAGCTATATGCAATTATCTCCATTATGAGCTAAGAAAACGCAGGCACAATAGTAGTTAACACACCAGCATGGTTCCCAATTCTTAGTAGCCTGACTCCAGAACCTGTGTTCTTAGGGGCAGTACTGATGCATCTGTCACCTCTTTCAAAACCAAGTTCAGCACTGAGACCACACATTCTCGGGCAGGTATGGGTACTCAGGTGAATTTGATCCATAGGAGCTCCTCTCCTGCAAAACTAACAGGAATAAGCCTCAGTTTCCTCATCCATAGAACTGAGAGGATGACAAGAAAAATGGCATTTCTTCAGGGAATAAGAAGTTAAAAATGAGTCACTATAAATCGCTCGGAACAACCGTGAGCTGTTCACGTTTTTGTTCAATAGATTTGATCTTTAATCTCGCCATGAGCAACGGAAGAAGCAAGGCCCGAGGCTCTCAGACTCTTTTCCGTCCTTTTCTGGCCCCACTTGGTTGGGTATCCCAGTTAAATTCTCTCCTCTCCCGAGGCATCCCTGGGCCGCTCCGCACGGACCCGCCCCATTGGCCGTGGTCAGCACGGGACACGCACAGCCTCCCTGCGGTGCCTGGGGCCAGGCCCGGCCGGGAGGCCCGAGGCGCCCGCCACGCCGCTAGCCAGGCCGGCGCCTCCCTTGCGGCAGCCAGCCAGCCAGCGCCCAAGGGCTCCTAAGCACCCGCCGTGGCTCCCCGCGCCCTCAGCCCACTCACCGCGCCGCGCCGGCCGCCGCCCTCGCTCGCCCCGCGCCTCTCCCGTCGCCGGAAGTACGGGCCCTTTGCTGGCGCCGCGCGGCCGCTCTAGGAATGTGGCGGAGCGACCCTCTATGGTCCCGGACCCACCCGACCGTTTTGTTGGTTTCTTCCAGTGTTTGCTTTGTTAAACTCTCCCACTTCTCGGAAGGCATGCGGCGACCCCAGGACCACAAGACCTATGGTTGCCTCCCTTTGCGGTCGAGGAGTGACCTGAATAGTTGATAGAAACCCTAGCCTGTGTCAGGGCGTTTGAAACCAGCCTGCTAGCCTCGAAACTGTATTTTTAATTCAAATATTGAGTGTCTGGTATAGAGAGATCCCTTTGCAGAGCCTAAACTGTTCCTGATGTTTTTCGTGAGTCATTTATCACCAGAAGGCTTCCCCAAGGTGGGAATGATCACACTGGATTTACAGGAAAGAAACCAAGGCTTAGAGAAGAAGTTTGCTCAAGTTCACACAGTAAGTGAACTACCCAATTTTGAAACAGCCCTTTTCCTCTCGAAGGAATACCCCTCTTGTTTCTCTTTAGTAATGAACACTCTTGCTTCTGCTCTTTTACAAGCTGCTCTTCAGCCAGCCTGGCTGGTGCAGCATTTTCTGGGAATCCTCTCTAGTCCAAAGTCTTCAAATACCATCATACGTGCTGAGGATTCCCTCATTGTTAACTCCAGACTGATCCTGGAAGGCAAATATTATTGAACTCCAGACTCATACATCCAATCAGCAACTCAGGAATTCCATTTGTATGTGTAATAGATATCTCAAACTTAATATACCTCAAAATGAACTCCTTGACAGGAGTAAACATCAAGGATGAATAAACAACATGAATCAGCAAAAGGACTTGTTTTGGACTTTGCAGTGACTAAGTGACTTTTTAGTTGTAAACATGTTTTGGTTATAGGATGACTAGATAGTATGCCCATGTTAGATAAGTTGATGATGTAACTAGGTAGTGTGCTTATGTTAGATAAGTTAGACATAAACAAGTTTGTTGTAAACATATAGAGTATATAAGCGCGAGGGAAACTCCATGTATTTGCTCACAATCAACTCTCATCGCCTGAGAGTAAGATCGTGCAGTGTGAGCCAGTCACCTCGTGTATTGCTTTGTGTGGTGTGCGAATAAACCAGCATTTCAAAAGGCAATCGAGTTCGTGCTTGGTGTTCGCGTACGTCGCGGTCCGGGGTCCAGTGCAGATATCCAGAAAGGAACTCCTGGTAACCAGACAAGGCTGAGAAGCTGCTCGTGACACTCCTGATACTCATTTCACTTGTTCCTCAATGGTCTTCATCCCAGCAATTGATGGCAACTCGATTGTTTTCAGCTACTCAAGCCAAAAACTTGGATGTCATTGTTATCTCTTCTTATTTTCATCCCAAACTCAAATCCAATCCACCAACAAATTCTAATGGGTTTATATCCAAAATATGTAGAGAATCAAGCTGCTTTCAATGTCTCTGCTGCTATAATCTCCACCTAGCCACTCATCACCTCCTGGCTGGATTATTGCATTGGCTTCCTGACTGGATTTTATTCTCTTCTCACAGCCAGATAATCCTCTTAAAACCCAAGTGAAACCGTGTTATTCATGTGTTCAGAACCCTTTAAAAGCTTCCTATCTCATTAGAGCAAAACCCAACAACCATAAATGTGTCAACCATGATGTATCTTTTTTGTTCTTTATTATGACTGCAGTGGGAAGAACAGTGCTCAGCAGGAAGAAGCCACTCAATAAATATTTGTTGGAAGAATGAATATATAAGATGCTTAATTGTTTACAAAGTGGTTTTTTTCCTTCTTTCTTTCTATTTATTTATTTATTTATTTGGTTCTGGGGATTGAACTCAGGGGCACTCAGTCACTGAGCCACATCCCCAGCCCTTTTTTGTATTTTATTTAAAGACAGGTCTCACTGAGTTGCTTAGTGCCTTACTTTTGCTGAGGTTGACTTTGGACTCACAATCCTCCTGCCTCAGCTTCCTGAGCCACCATGCCCAGCTTACAAACTGCTTTTACATGTATGTTCTGGTCATTCATCTTTACTATAGTTTCATACATCAGGGACCATCACATCTGTATGGCAGATAAGTAAGAGGCATGTTTCTCTTTCATACTCCAAAACTGGAACTTTTTGTTATTCAAGGAGCTGCCTCTGCAAATGTTAAAGCATAAAACTGAAGGAGGTCTGGATCATGAAGATCAAACTCAGTAATCCAGATAATATATGTACTATTGAAAGGATGAGGTAAAATAATGTAAGGCACTTAACACAATACATAACACATAAGAAATGTGAGCCATTGTTATTACTTTTATTTTTAAATTATTATTACAAGCTATTGATATTGGTGGTTGGAGGTGCTGGGGATGAAAGGCAATAACCAGAGACGCCAGGGATGGCTTAGGAAGTTTTAAGAGCAAAGATTATCTGCTAGGACTATTTGTTCTATGTATGTGAAAATAATAAATTTTTTCAAAAACGTTTTGTAAGACAGCCATAAATTTAAAATCTAAGTCTTGCCATGTCCCATTTAAAGGTGGATTTTCCTTTTCCTATCTTGAAAACAACTGAGCCAGCCACAGAAGTCCCATGGGGTATGCAGATTATAGGACTGGGTAATGAATTATGAATTTTAAAAGGAAGATGAAGTATGAAGAGGCAAATGGCCAAGAGTGGATGGAGCAAGAGGTAAGGATGAAGAAAGAACATGGAATAGGACATGGGTAATAAGGGGAAAAGAAAAAAGAACTGAAAATAATTAGTCACGATTTTATGCTCGTAATTTATTTATTAGTTTAAAAATAGTTAACATTTGCGGAAGGCTTATTTTGTGCCAGCCTCTGTTTAAAGCACTTACAGTACCTTGTTAATGTTCCCATGGTATGATTATACCTGTGCATTTGTGACACCTTTCTCTGATTTTTCATTCTTGGCCATTGCCATGTGACTCTACGTGCCTCCTAGTGAACAATATGCCCATCCCACCAATGTAGACTTTACCACATGACTTGCATATGAGTGGATGGGAGACACATCCCAGCCCAGCAGCAGCTTTGAGTCACTGTGCTTCTGCCCCAGCACTCTGCTCTTTCTCTCTGCCTCAATAATAGAGTGTCCCAAAGAGGGGCTGCTCCTTCAGCCTAGGACCCAGGATGGAAAGAGACAATGGAACACCTGTAGTCAGTACAATCCCATGGAACATGTGAGAGAAATAAATGTTCTTGTAGGCTGAGATTCTTGATGCCATTTGTTAGTGCCCTAAAAGCTAATATACCTTTTACCAACCTTGAGAGAGGAATTGTTATTATCACCCCATTTTTCTGATAGGAAAACTGAGGCAAGTAACTTGCCCAATGTAGGATCCAGCTTGACATGACTACATCTGTCTTTATTATAACCACCACTTTGCTTACCAGCTGACCCTGGCACGTATCCCAAACTTTATAGGACAAAGTTGTTAAGACAGCTAAGCATGGTTTTCTGGTCACTGATACCCAGATTGTTTCTTAATTGATGTTGAATATGTTAATAGTTTTTTGTTTGTTTGTTTGTTTTTTAAGCCAAGTACATTCTGGTACAAATATACACCTTTGTCTACCTTAACATATAAATCCTTTCTTTCTGCCTTGGTGTGCAGAGATCCATATTTTGCTGCCACCCAAGACACACTTCAGTCTGCAAGTCACTAATGAATTACACTTTGCACAATCCTGGATCTATCTGCCTTTCTTCAGTCTCATGACAACTTCTGTTTTGGCGGCCAATTCTCAAACACTAGGACCCAATTTTCCCCAAACACCCAAAGTCACACATTTATAAGTGACACAGACTCTGAAGCCAGGAAGTCTGGAATTCCAGGTTGTTTTTATGTCAGTTAAATTATTGAGAGGGTTCACACACTATACTTACAAAATACAAAGAAGGGGGAAGAGGGAGGAGGCATGCATACCCTAGGCATCTAACTTTGCATCTTTCTGGGGAACCTGAGCCAAAAGAGGGTCAGCCCCTTCACAGCTGGGACTTCTCTCGGAAAGCAGAGGCTCTGTGTTACTGAGTGTGGCAGTGTTTGAAGGGCTCTTTTTAGGAAGAAGGATTTTCTGAGCTGAGAAACATCCTGGAAAGACAGCTTCCTTTTCCTTTGGCTTTTTCCCTTGAACTCCTTGTTCCCTTGTGTGTGAACACGTGTTTGCATGCAAGTGCAAGCACACACACACCCACAGTCACATGCACTATCTCAACAGGGAGTGCTGCGTTTGGCAACATGGAGTCACAACCCTAGTGCAACAAGCCAGTCAAGTGTGACAGGAATGAAGGGGCCGGAGTGGTACATTTCCCACAAAGCAGACCCCTCAGCACAGGGTCCCTGAACAATGTTTCTGTCCACTAAGCTGGTTTAAAAAAAAAAAAAAAGAGTTTCCTCTCAGCTCTTTGGGAAAGGAAACCCTGGGAATTCCCATTCCTGTGCCTGCAGAAAATATCTCTGTTAAAGCCCCATAAGGAGGGCTTGGTGCCCCACCCTGCATGCTGTGCATCTCTAGCACGTCTACAGCTGGCTCACTCCCAATCACAGCTTGTGAGTTCTAAATATAGTGTGTGCATCTGGCTGTTTTTACACTTGGAGCTGCTTGGATCTGACCAACTGAGCTTCCTGCCTGAACACTGCTGAGGAACTGAGGGTCAGGGGGGCTGCAGCTCACCCCTGCACCTGACAAAGATATCTCACTGCTTCCTGTACAGCTGCGGGGTGCCTGTGCTCTACACACATGGGTACACTGGGCATTCTTGATTCCTCTACAAATCACCTGGTCAGACTGCACAAACCTTGGGCCTTGTTTCTCTAGAATTTAGGGGCCAGATGTGTCCTGGGTGGATGGATCTATTTTGACAATGAGAAGGCCTTTAATCCACTTTCTGGTAAACACTCTAAGCAGATAGCACATGGTTATCATGACAGAAAAACAAGCTGTTTTTTTGATCCCTTCTGGTCATTTGTTCTGGACAAACAACCCTGTTTTTCCAGATTCCAGTCCTTTTGCAATCATGTTGATTTATCCTGAGTTGTTTATTATACTCGCTGGTCCCTGAGGGCTGGCCTAGGAAGACAGCACATTCTTGCAGGGATCTTTATCTTCAGATACCTTTACTATCTCATATGAGAAATACTGTAAACTGTATGAAGCCGATGCTACCCCAAATCAATAAGAAATCACAAAGTCTAAAATATGAAATCCTGGTGTTGGGGTGACCTGGATGAATCCTTTTCTGATTCCCTCAGGAAAACAAACGTGGTATTGTAAAAAAGATTTGTGAGCCCTGAGAGGATTCCAGGAGAGGACATATCCTTGTCTATACAACTTGATACAGATTTTTCCTAGCTATGATATTCAGGAATCAGTTTTGATAATATCTATTTTGAAAGTGACGCTTAGCTAAAAAGGCCTTAAATAGTATTTTAGAAACTGCAAAAACTAACTAAACAACCAGGTTGGAGCTTATGGAGTTTCCTGCTGCAGTGGCTTCCAAAGCATCGCGCCCCTGTCCTGCTCCTCACTGGCATATGTCTTCTGGCCTGCAAAAACACACACACTATCTTGGCCATTCGCAGCTCAGCCTCAGGCCTCCTTCCTGGGAGATTAGCTGGCTTGCTGAACTGGTCTCCTGACATTCCCAGATGGCCTGCTTCTGACAAAGAGATCCCTGAACACAGGACAGATGGTCACTCCATCTTGTTATTCCAGGCTGGGCACAGGTCTGGCGTAAGGCAGTCACTCAGTTACTCCTGAACAATAGACGGGCAGTTGTCAGACCTGAGGTTGTAAATATGGACTGGTGAGTAAATAAAATTACCTGAAAGTTTCTGCTTGGTTCATTTTTTACCCTTTACTGAGCCACTTCCTGGAAGATTCCTGAGGCCTTTCTGATGCTAAGATTCTTTGATGCAGGGTGACCATATTGCTCAGATCACTCATAGGCTGTCACCGTGACTCTTCCTTTATGTCCTACAACAGTCTCACCTCAGACCCCACACCAATCTGCAAGCTAGGCCTGAAAAACACAGGAGTCCTGTAGAATTGGGTTGTGGCTCTCCTGCCAAGCTCTCTAAGAAATTTAGAGATTAGAAGAAGAGGTCAATATGGATATGCAGAAAGAAAAAGAAAAGAAAAGCTTGGTCTTCATTTCTTCAGTTTAATACAGCACACCTTTATTGAGCACCTAAGAAAATATATGCCAATCAAAAAAAAAAAAAAAAAAAAAAAAGACAAGAGAACTGCTGTCAGACCTCCCCTGGAATCTTTGAGTCTCTATGGTGACAGATCTGGGTGAGGGCAATCTGGTATGAAGTTTACTCTGACAAGTGACTCCAAACTGCCTGATTGTTTCCATGTTCTGCTCTTTTGGGGATCCCATAAGGGGTCTGTATGCAAGTCTGTATGGTTCTTCCTTTTAAATCTGCCATTCACAGACCCCAGCAGAAGAATTTGATCTTCTGTTTTCTGTTTTAGACCAACATGGCTGATGTAAACTGTTACAGTTTTTGCAAAGCATTTCTCATTCACTCCAAAAATTCTCCAATAGTCAACAAACACCAATTGCTCAGTATCTGGCCCCAGGGAATTTAAAGCCCTTTCTCCCTCAAACAGACCTTTCTCCTCATTACCACACAGGGAAGTGTTTACAGTTGCCCCCTGTCCACTAAATAGGAAGTACACATGTCCAGAGAAGGCACGAGGCAGATAGGTGTCCACAGGACAGTGGTGATGAGGGCCAAGCACTGCCTTCTTAAGCCACTGCCAGCAGTGTCCATTCAATGCCATAGAAGCCACCTCCCCAACGTGATTAAATTGGTGAATTTCTTTCAGCAAGCTTCTTTTAATAATTCCTTTGGGCTTTGTTCAGAAGAATGATCTCTGCAGAAAGCAGATGGGTTCCCCATGGTTTTATTCCTGATTTAGGCTTTGCAGTAGAGGTGCTGGGCTGTGCAAAGAGGTTTAGAAGCCTGGGATATTGTGATAAAGTGATAGCTGGAAACAGGGTACATCCCATAACTTCTGGCAGCGCCTGCTTTCCCCAGTAGAGTAACCAAGTAGCAGTATGATATGGGATAGACAGGGATCTCGTGGTGCACATGGAGAATGAGGACAGTGCTTGGTGGCCCTACTGGAACTCTAAGCCAGGTACTAGGCAAATGGATGAAGCCTACACCCCAGGGGCTAGTCAGATACTATTCAGCAGGAGACACAGCCATTGGCACAGTTTCGATGCCAATCACTTCAAGGCTAGCCTGCCAAGCAGAATACAATTGGCAAGTTCCTGGCTCCTGGGGCCTGGGTCTGCTTCCTGTGTGTGCTCACTATGGAGCTAAGGATAGGAATGCAGGACTCACAATGCTTAGACTTCAGACAGGTTAAAAACACAGGCACTAGATTCCTTAGGCAGCCATTAATCAGTGTGACCAGTCAAGGCCTGGCTGCTGGGACTCCATGTGCACTTGCTGCAATGGGCGTTAGAAGAGACATGTGCTGGCTTGCTATTTGGCCTCCACCAGCTGCTCTAGGCGTTGCAGCATTGTCAGACGCAGGGCTTGGAACCTGGAGGGAGACAAAGACAAATCACTGAGGCTGGAGGGCAGTAAGGTAGGAGTAGAAGAAGGGAGGGAGCACAAAGATATCTGACCCACATCACTGCTCTTGAGTGGATGATTGGCAGTCACTACCTATCCTCTTGAAGCAAAGAGAAGAGTCCAGCCTGCTCCTGTGAGGAGCATCAGTAAGGCTCTTTGCCACGTGGAGATTGTTACAATTCCATGCCAAAAACTCTCCAGCATAGGCAGGGGCATACTGGAATGCACGGGGCAACATGTCAAGGGTCAGGAAGCCTGTGTTCCAGCCCAGACTCTACAGATAACCTGTGCTACGTCCTTCCTCATTGGGGGCCTCAGTTTCGTCCCTGCAAACTGAGTAGACTGATCAAGTGATCCCCAGGTCCCTTCCTGCTCTAAAACCCTACAGTGACATGATCAATGGCACAAGAGATCCTTCACTCTGGGATCTCCACAGACTCCCTCTGTGGGGCCCAAATGCACAGTTGGAAGCTGTTGGGGGGATGAGGTTTTCCAAGAGTCATTCAGTCAGACACAAGAATCCAAACCAGTTACCAACCCAAGGTTCTACAGTGAGTAGCCTGCCTTTCCTTCCTCAGGCCCTGGGAATGTTTCCACATGTTCTGCTCCATGTTGCTGAAGGATAGATAGGTCATGGGGTCCTGCAGTTTGGCTAATCTCACACAGCCAGGCCCTGTTCCCCTTTCTATTGAACTCATCCTTGATGCAATAGCAGCTGGTGCTTGAGTTCCGACAATTGCCACCTTCCAGCAGGATTAGTATTCCTCCTAGTACAAAAGGTCTCAGACCAGACAGAAGCTGCACCTAGCAGGCCCTCTCTATGGTTGCTTTTCCAGAGTTAGATCACTAGATCCAGTGCCCACCCTTCCTCTTGCCTCTGCCTTTCCCTCCCAGTTTTCTGCGTTATATTTCAGGATTCTGAGAATGCCAAGGCTGGCTGGGCAGTCTAGATTGGGTTTCCTCCGTTTTGGCAGGCTGTCACCCCAGTATGCTGTCAGTACTGAGAGACCAGAGGGTGATGCTAGGAGCCAGGACAAGCAGGCCTCCTCAAACTGCAAGGGCACCAGGTACCCAGCACAGGCGTGCCCTGCAGACATGCCCTGATGATCAGAACCCACGACTGGCTGATTAAGTGCTGCTTACTTCGTGGTTAGTTTGATTATTTCTCTTTCCTCCTCTTCTTTTAATTTTTCAACAAAACTGTCCAGCACCGGCATTTCAAACTTAATGTACTGAGCGACCTAGAAAATCCAAGAACATTTAAATGAGAAGCCCAAAATGTATTTTCTTTTTCTCATGGCTTCCATAGTGGCCAATCCAGCCAACATCCAGTGTCCACAGAAGTAGCTGCCCTTCTTCCCACCCTACCCCCAACACTGCCCTGCTGTGTAGGATGGGAGAATGGGAACCATTCTTATCTCAAAGGCAACTATTATCCCTGGGAGGAAATATTGAGTTGAATATTAGGAAGAGCATTCAATACTGCAGCATTGTCACACTGGGTGTTCTCTATAGGTGGGTGTGGGGAGGCTGGTGAGAACAGCATTGTTTTTAACAATGGAATGAAACAGTACCAGCTCTGGGAAGAGGCTGGGGGAGACTGGGCTACTAGACTGTCTCCTTGGGGTCCAAACCTTTAGGGCTTTTTCTGTGCACAGGAGTTTGAACATGTGTTCATTGTCTGGTCAGACTGTTGGTAGGACTTAGCCATCTTCTTCCCTTGCATAGGCCCTAGTCAAGGAGCTCTTGTGTGGGTCTTTAATGTAATAACAACAAGGTACACTCCAAAGAAGGAAGAGGGTTCACTAGTATGAAAGTAAAAGCACAGGGCCCCAGTTTTCTAGGACTCAACTTCTTTCTTCTAAGCCAGCTGACAAAGCTGGTGGTTACTATGAAGAAGGGGACCTGGAGCCCTTTCAGGACAACTGTGTGGTCCCAGGAGACATTGAGAGGATTCTGGCCAAGGTCATCTTTAGAGCCCTCTGGAATCCACATGTCTCCTCCTAGACCCTCCCAAGGAAGCCAGGCCCCCATCTAGCCCCTACTCACATCGTGGGGGACTTCCTCGCCCAAGTCAGCTTCCATCAGGAAGATCTTGACGATCTTCTCACAGGGTCCATGCAGGATTCTGGAAATCAGTGGATACTCGCTGTCTTTTAATTTTGTCCTCTCTGAAACAAAAGGCAATTTATAAAATCCATAAGATGTTAGAAATGCCTCTCTTTGTACCAGGACAGGAACATTGTAGGGAATGGATGTTCAGGGAGCTCAGGGAACCTTCTTCAGACCTCACTTCCTGTGGAAAGCGACAAGCCAACCCCAATCTGCCACTTGGCACAGGATTATGTTGAGCTAAAGGCAACTGAGAAGGAATGAATACAAGAAAAGCTCTGTGTGTCCTGATCCTATTTGCTTAAAAGCAGGAAATAAATTTATCAATGTGTCCCTTTCCCCCTCTACCTGAAGTTAATTACCAGAGACAGCTCTAGACCCTTGTCATCTCAGAACTAGCATCAGAGGCATCTACATAGTTAATATTGAAACTAGTCCTCATCTTCCATTAATTCCCTGATATCTTGGCCTTCACACTATTTGCCTCCCTGGAAACTCAAATCCCTTCTTTGTTTGGTCACTTTTCTAAAAACTTATTCTTCTGCTGAAGTGCTTTGAAAGCCCAATTTCTAACCGCCCCTTTGAGTCACTCATTCCTGAGAGCTCCCATGGGTATGGACCATGCACCTGTTCACAAATCCCCTTTTGTTTTTCTCTTCCCAATCTTATTTACAAAAAAGGAGGGTAGAGGAAAAATACTTTTTTCCTTCTCCTATAGTGTCATTCAACAAAATCCAGCCAGGAAAGAAACAGGAGCTGAGTAGACAGGAGGGAGAAAAGAAATGGGGAAGTGCAGGCCAGCTCAGTCACAGGACATTGCTACGCCAGTGCTGCAGAGAGGGGCATGCAGGCTCTGTGGCAGCAGCTCTGTGTCACGGCTTCTGGCCTACACTCCCCACCTCTCCTGACTGAATCACAATGAGCTTGAGAATGGTCCGTTTTATTTGAAGAGGTTGGTGACGGTGGCTTTGTACACAATTTTGGTGGGATTCTGAGAGTGATGGCAAGTGTGCCTGGGTTGGGGTTGGGAAGAAGGTGTGTGGTTTAAGTGCAATATATGCCAGTATAGGAGGGCTGCCCACTGCCAGGAAGGCCAGCCCAGAGCCCTCAGGTAAGAAGTACAGTTGGCAAGCTTGCCATAGGAGCAGAATCTTCTTGCTTTTATAATCTGGAAGCAGAAGCTGACACTTACCCCCAGACTCATGGACGATGTAGAGTGCAAACTCACCAGGGCCATCTTCCACCTGCACAGGAAGTCACAGAAAGTCAGTCTTAACAACTTTTTGAGACAAAATGAAACAAAGTAACCACAGCCACAAAGCCACATACACAAGGCACCAAAATTACATGATTTTTCAGCCTGAGCCCCTCCTGACACCCATGAGATCCCCAACAAAAATACCAGAGATTTACTTCCATCTTTATTAAAAATACCAGAGATATCAGTTCAGCAGAGGAAACCTTGCTAGTGTACAGCCCTCCTCTGCCTCTCCAGCTCTCCTCCCAGCAAAACAGCAAAGTGTCATCCTCCCAGGGAAAGATTGCTCCATTGTGCCCAGACTTACTCTGAACTTGTTCAGCAGCAGGGTGAGCACCTGCAGAGTGGTCATGGTGCTGTTGACCCTCACGTTGGTCATGGATCCATAGGCAGGAGTGAACACAGAGGTCTGTGTGGGGTAGGAAGACAGCTCAGGGCTGGCATCACAGTGCTGAGCACACTCAAGCAACAGATGCCTGGGCTCTAGGAACACCTGCACCTGTCCATTCATGCAGATCTATGTGCAAACTGTTCCCAGACCTAGAGACACTCAGGGAAATTGTAATAGTTCCTGTCTTACAGAGATCCTTAAGGAAGATAATCTCACTCCCTGCATACCACCAGGGAAAGCCCTCTGGATCCTAAGAACCAGGGTCCTGGAAGTAATTCACTGAGGAAGGGGAAGCCAGTTTTCCCTTCACTCTTTTTGTCAATTGAATCACGAAGTGTTTGCTGATTCTAAGACTTAAATGTCCCAAATCTATTTATTCTACATTCTCTTAGCGGTGCCTGAGCAGAGGTCCTCAAGTCATGCTATAGCAGTTTCCAACATGTTCCCTTCATCTCAGCCCCTCCAAACCAGTCTCCAAATTGCTGCTCAAATATGCGTACCACCTTTTAAAGAACCCTGAAATATAGTGTGTGGTCTGGTCTGCTTCACAGTTTAAAGTCCCACCTCGGCCCTCCCACTTCTCCTAACCCAATTCAGACCTCCTGACTTAGAATCTGCAGTTGGAAAGAATGCCAGGCCATGCTATCTGTACAGTACAATTTGTCAGAGAGACATTTATAAAAAGCATGGGCGGGGTGGGGGGGCTGGGGTTGTGGCTCAGCAGTAGAGCGCTTGCCTAGCAGGTGCGAAGCCCTGGGTTCGATCCTCAGTACTACATATAAATAAATAAATTAAATAAAGATATTGTGTCCAACTATAACAAATATATATATATATATATATATATATATATATATATATATATATATAAAATTAAAATAAAAAGCATGGATCTAATTAAAAAGATCTGAAGACTTCCCACAGCCTATGCAACACCATCCATAGCTCCTCTAATTGTTATGCATCTATGATACTAAGACCCCCTCACAAGCACCCTGTGTTCCAGCCATATGGGCTTTTTCACAGTTTTGCTTTTTCCTCGGAAGACGGGGACATTATAATCTTCCATGTATCTTGCTTGTGCCTATGAGACACCAACTTATGGTGGTTTGACTCACAATTTTTTCAACTTTGGGGCAGAAGCAATACACATTCAGTAGAAACTGTACTTTGAATTTTGAATTTGGATCTTTCTGGGCTACTGATAATATGATCCTATCTTCTCTCTCAGTGCTGGACAGGGCAGTGAGCCACAGCTTCCAGACAGTCATGGAATCACAAGGAAAAACCACCAGCTCTCTACAGAATGTTGTGTTGCTAAGCAATGATGTTTGGTAGGTCAGGTGTACTAGATACATTTTCATCGTTGACATTTTCAATATATGATGGGTTTATTGGGACACAATCTCATAACAATTTGTTATAGTTTGAATGTGAGGCATCCCCCAAAAGCTCACATGTGAAACAATGCAAGAAGGTTCAGAGAAGAGATGATTGATTAGGTTATGAGAGCCTTAATTCAATCAGAGAATCAATCATCTGATGAGATTAATTGAATGGTAACTGGAGGCCGGTGGGGTGTGGCTGGAGAAGGTGGGGCATTGGGGGCATGGCTTTGGGGTATTTATTTTGTATCTGTGAGTGGAGACTCTATCGGCTTCCTAGTCATCATGTGAACTAATTCCCTCTGCCATACTCTTCTGCCATGATCTTCAGCCTCACCTTGAGCCTTGAGAAATGAAGCTAGCTGTATATGAACCGAAAACTCTGCAATTGTGAGCCCTCCTCTACAATTTCCTCCTCTACAATTGTTCTGGTTGCGTCCTTTAGTCACAGCAGTGAAAAAGGTGACTAAAACACAAGTGGAGGAATATCTGAATATGAAATCACCTAGGACACTGCCTGATACTTAATAAGTCCTCAGTAAATACTAACCATGTAGTGAACCTGCTAAATATTTTACATCAGATCTTTGATTTAATCCTCATAACAACCATTTTAAGTGCCTATAATGTGTTCCCTTTTTCTTAGAAAACATAGGATTATAGGAGGTCAAATAGCTGCTCAGGGTTACCTATCTAGAAAGAACTTTGCCACATAAGGATTCTGCAATGCTTGAAAGCCGTTCATTAACTCTGGGTTCAGGTGCCTCCTGGAGAAACGGACTACTCTGCAAGTAGTCAGTTCTCTTTCCTTTCTAAGCCAAGTTCAAATTCACATATTCCTCTCAAGAGAGTATTTGATACTCAGGGTGCTTAAGGGACTTTCTCAGTAACCCAGCTGGTCTCTATTCTGATAAGATCCAGAGGCAGCCTCAAAGCCCAACCTGCTTCTTCCATAGCTGAGAACTAGACTGACTCTGGGTTGTACGTTATTCAGAAAGCCATCAGTTCCCAAGAAACATGGAAAAGAGCGATTAAGCCATTTCAAGGAGTTGAAAGATCTTATTAACAAGAGACTGTTGGTGTTTCTTCTGCACAAAGCATTGAGAAACTCAAGATGAGCCAGGCACATGGCGCATGCCTGTAATCCCAGCAGCTCAGGAGGCTGAGGCAGGATCCTGAGTTCAAAGCCAGTCTTAGCAAAAGTAAGGTGCTAAGCAACTCAGTGATACCCTGTCTCTAAATAAAACAAAATAGGACTGGGGATGTGGCTCAGTGGTCAAATGCCCCTGAATTCAATTCTTAGAAACCACCTACCCCCCCCCCCCGCCAAAAAAAAAAAAAAAAACAGATATTCAAGATGAAGCCAACCAATTCCAAGTGGGAACAAAAGTCTTAGGGCTGCTTTCTCAACTCTAACCACAAAAAGGTTTCTCTCTAATAGACCACATTCAAATCCAATAAATAGATCAGGACAAAGCAGTATAGGAACAGCTAAAATATTTTACCCAGTTTGGAAATAAAACCAGTCTCACTGTGAATCAGAACAGTTTGTGGAAATGATTGAGTGAAGTACAAGTACACAGTTCTAAGAAATAAACCCTGGAACAACTCCCACCAGAAGTCAGTGCTACTATTCTTTCCCCCACCCTTCAACTGTTGCTTGTGACTCAAGGAATTTGTACCCTAATTTCTATGAATACTAACTGGGTATGGATGTAGGGCAGGTAAGAATGAGGGCTTTCACATAGGGTGTCTTTTTTGAAGCTCCTATCTCACCCAGGAGATGTGATCCAACTGTCCAAAATGTCTGTGTTCTGAAAAGTAGGACATCTGTCAGGAAAAAATGCATCCATATTCTCCAGGTAAGTCTGTTCCTGGGGTAATAGTCCAAGGCCTGAGTGTGTGGCTGGCTGAGCAGCCTCTCTTAGGAGGGTGGTTCAAATGGAAATAAGGCTGTGGCTGTGATGAGAAACCTCATTGTTCCTTTCTTTTAAGCTCACAGAGTGCTCCAGACATCATGTTCCTGAGATATTTGCAATGCCTAAAATAAGGTTCAATGTTCCAGACATACTTCTTAGAGACAAATGAGACACTAGAGAAGTCAATGTACTGGAGTTACAACCCACTGTTTTTTACCTTGAGCCATGGGGCAAAATATTCTTCTTTGTTAGGAGCACAGAATTAGAAACAACCTAAACTTATGTACATATTCTATTTTATTTTATTTTGGTACCAGGGATTGAACCCAGGAGTATTAAACCACCAAGCCACATCCCTAGCCTGTTTTAATTTTTATTTTGAGACAGGGTCAAGTGCCCCTGAGTTCAATGCCCAGAAACCACCCCCTCAAAAAAAAAAAAAAAAAAAAACAACTCAAGATGAAACAAACCAACTCCAAATGAGAACAAAAGCCTTAGGGCTGCTTTCTCATCATTAACCACAAAATGTTTCTCTCTAATAGACCACATTCAAATCCAATAGGCCAGGACAAAGCAGTGAGAACAGCTAAAAAGTTTTACCCAGTCTGGAAATAAAATTAACTTCACTGTGAATCAGATCATGTTTGGGGAAAGACTGAGTGAAGTTATTCAGAGTCTCTTTAAATTGCTGAGGCTAGCTTTGAATTTGCATCCTCTTGCCTCAGTCTCCTAAACCAGTGGGATTACAGGTGTGTCCCTCCACACCTAGCCTCATATACAAATTCATTGACAATTTTTGAAAATTTCTTAAAATAGCATGTCAATATTTATTCAAATACTAACCTTTTACAGATTAAACCTTTTTTGAAACAAGATTTAAAGGATACCCAAATTATAATATGGTCTTATTGTTAATCTATATAATATTCTTAATCTCCATTGAACTTCAACCCTGCCTTTCCCTGTGCTTTTTCAGGAGACTTGATTTTCACGTTGAATTTTTCTGGACTTAACAAATAAAACCCTGTCATTTGTAAACACTGACTGCAAACTTAGCAAGGCACGGAAGGGAGGTAATGAGATTAAAAAAGTTTTCCCTTCAGCTTGCAGAGTTGAAATCTTTATCCCGAAGTCCAGGGTGCCTCAAGGGCAGCCTGAATAACCTCTAGAAGACCTGACCTACTTGTTCCTTCAGACCTGAATCCTAGGACCTCCCAGGTTCCTCTATCTCCATGAGTCATGCTCTATCAAGGAAGGCAGCTGCTCAAACTGGAAACCTTTGCTTTCATTTCCCAGGGCAGCAGGATATGGCCTATCACAGGACACTCCAACCAGGACCTCACCCAAACTGCCACTCATTCCATTTATAGTAACAATTAACTTCTCCTTTTACAGTTCCGTTTGTTTGTGGAATGATGTAATTTGGGGAAGGTGATCTTTTCCTAAGTTCAGTACAATACATACTCGGACAAAAGGCGGGTGCTGGGAATCAGGAGTTGTTCAGGTTCTCTGGGAACAAACACACTTGCTCCTAGCCACACCTCTGCTAGCAGGCTTAATTTAACAAGTGAGAGTGATGGCTGGATACATACTTTTCCCATGGAATGATCAATTGAACTTGGAGGGAAACTTTATAGAACATCGCCTCACTAAAGATAAATTGGCATTACTGTCTGCCTTGAGCTTGCCAAAAATCCACACCACTTAGAGAATGGAAAGACAGTGAGTGTGTGGCAGAGAAAGCACAGATCATGAATGAGTTGTCATGCTAATGGGTCTTTGGGCAAGATTCTTTTCCTCCTGAGCCTTTAGGAAGGGGGGGGGGGTGACAAGGATCATAGGGCTGCAGTGCCTGTGCTTAGGCATGGCTCCTGTGCTCTCAGCTTCAGGGCACTAGAAGATACCAGGGGGGACTATCACCTTGTGATTATAAAAGTGCCCATTGATGGAGAATCGGTGTCGGCGGATCCGCTGGGCCTCGCCAGGTGCACGGCACTTGGGCCTCCTCTGGATCATACAGCTGGCATCACTCTTGGTCCTCATCAACTGTGGTACTTCCTCCTCTTCCTCCAGGGACCCTATGGAGAGAAATGGAACAGATGGTGGCAGAGTGGAGGGCGGCGGCAGAGAAATTGCCGTGGGTCTAGCCACCAGGCAACCTTTGGGATTTGTGAGGCTCCCAAGAATCCTGTGGTCAAACCGCACTGCAGCACACAGTGACATTAGTGTTAGAGGCAGGGGCAGAGCTTGGACAATTTGCAGACAGTTTGCAGACAGGAATGTGTAACTTGTGTCACATCACATGACCATAAGCCTCCCTGGCTGTCTCATGGAGCCCAGCAAGGTCTTTAGGCACTTCAGACCTGTCCTCTGTGCACCCACTCCTTCACTGAGTGCTAAGGAAAGTGGCACAAAGAGGACAGGTGAGCGATTATGAATGAAGCCCCAGAGTCCTAGGGCCAGGAGGGCATGGCGCCTTCTGCTGATGTTCCTTCTTTGTATAGCATGACACAGTGCAGGGGACTCAAGGCACTGACACACTGTGACCCTTCTGCAAGTCTCTGCTCCCTTTTCCATAAAGGGGAGTAAATGAGGTTGTAAGCAAAGTGCTTTCTATTAGAACAGGTCACTCCTAAGATAAATGAAGCCATTTGGGGCTATTCCACAAGCCTGAACTTTGGAGACTGTGGTTGTGCATCAATTCCCTGGTCCCCTGGATGAAACAGGGTCCTGACAGCTCCTGAGCTCCACTTACCTGAGCCATCTCTGGAGCTCTCAGCTTTGGGCACAGTCTGAGTGCTTGGTTCCTCAGTAGTAACTTTGCTGTCCTGGGGAGGTGGTTCCTTTCTGAAAAGAGACAATCACAATACTCAGGTGGCTTAGGCCAAAGAGATGAAGCTGGCTGCCTCTGGGGGCAGGATACAGGACAGAAATGGGGCAAGCTGAGACAAGTGAATGCAAAAAAACCAAAGAAATGCAAAATTTTCCCACAGGCATTTGTGGGAAGAGCAAATGTCTAGCCCCATAGACCCTAGTGGACATGCTAGGCTGCAAGATTTAGACACATGCACAGGGCCAGTGCTGTGCATCCCTATGCAGCTATGTACCCAGTGGGCTCAGCTTCAGGGTCCTGAACAGTTTTGAAAATTGAGTTTTCCAAGGGCCTGGTAGGGAGTCAGGCAGAGGCAACCTCCAAAGGGCCATCCTCCACATTTCTTGTAGGATTGACCCCATGCCCATATACTCCATGCCAGGATGGAGAAAGAACAGGCACAATGGGATACTGCCTTCAATAAAGCGTTACCAGGAAGAATCAGACAGGAGGGTCCAGGGGAATACGTGGGCTGCTGTCTGCAATTGCTGATAGCACCTGGGACCAGATTTATCTCAGGAAAGGAACATGGGTCACACTACTGCTTTACAGGAACCCATAGCTATCCAGTCTTTCTTTATGCTTTAAGTCTGTGTGGCTCAAAATTTGCTACAAGTGACGAGGGACATATGGGGATATGCTGTCTCATGGAGCCCAGAAGGTCTTTAGGCACTTCAGATCTGTCCTCTGAGCATATGGGGATATGCTTATGTGTCAACATGGTGAGTCATCCCAGAGCATCCGTTTTACCTCCAGGTTTGTAGGGGGCACAGTCCTGAATGCTTGCCTCTTAAAAAGAGGCATCCATGCAGAATCAAGCAAAGTGCCCTTTTGAGAGGTAGGAGTGTGGGAGGAGGTAAACGTCCATGAAACAGTAGGATTGGTAAGAAAACTTTGTCCTTCTGATCAAAACATTCTCCTGAAAATAAGTCTGATCTTAAACTCTAACATATTTACAAAAATAAAATCAGAGATTAAAATAAAACAGAGTAGTAGGAAGCTAAATTTGTGTGAATTCTTAGTCCCCCTCCCCATGCAGATAAGGTTTGAATGGACTTGGAATGCAGCTCAGTGGTAGAGTGCTTGGCCCTGGGATCCCCCTCCAGCAATGTAAAATGGAGGTGATAGAAGCCTAGGAATGTTCTGTGAGGGAGACAATGTGGTTGTTATCTAGCAAAGTTACCCTGGGCAAGGCTGCATTTTGTGCACATAAAGTGAGGAAGGACTGAGGTAGTCACAGGACAATGGAGGCCAGGCTGGGCTATGCTCCCATGCCAGAACCTGTCCAGAGTGGGTTGTCCACTCTGAGGCTGAGCCTATCCCACAAACACCCTAAACAGTAATGCTAGGGTTGAAAGGTGTCATGAGGCCCACTGACCCCACTCTGCCCTCTGGGCACTCACAGTGGGCAGCTGGGCTGTCCAGGTGTCCACGAAGCTGAGGGGAGGTGCACTCGCTCCCGGTCATCTTGCATCTGGAGTCGAATGGGCCGTCTGAGTCCCCAGGCGATGTTGAGGAGTCCCTCGATGATCAGAGCCCCTTCCTCCTGTGGGGCCCACACACATCAAACGTCCACCCCCAGAGCAGCCACCCTCAGAGTTACTACCCATTCTTCCCATACCCACGCAGGAACAGGACACTCAGGCGAGCCCCCAAACACACTCCTTCTCCTTGGCGTTTCCTCATCCGCCAAGGAAGAGCTGCAAGACTCTACGTGCTCCAGGACAGGAGGCCAGGGCCCTGTGGGAGGAAGCCTGAGGCATGCTTTCCACTGTCCAGCTCTGGCCTGGCCAGAGGCACAGCCAGGGTCAGAACAGAGGACTGAGTCAGGTGTCCCACAGGAACCCACAGCTGTCTAGCAGGCACGTCCACACTGCAGTGAGGAAGCGTGTTCCAGAGCAGCACAGTATGACCACCTGTCCACACAAGACACTGCTTTGCCTACACTGTGCCTGGGCAAGGTTCCTATTTCACCAGATCCTGCTGGATCTCATGTGCGCTAGGACAAAGGACTTCCTCCTCCAGATGGGTCTCAGCCCTGTCCTTCTCCCCACACTTCTGATGGCAGCAGTTCCCATTTGTTGGGACTCATTCTACAACCAGAATTCCAAGCTGGCTTTTTTCTGATAGCTGATCTTGCCTTTCTCACTACTTCTAGGACATTGCCAGTCCCAAATCCCCCTCCAGTATTTCTGTAAAACCGCTTTCATCCTGTGTCCCCAACCACTCTTGGTTTCTTTAGTTCTGCAGATAGAACAGCTCCTTCCCTGTCACTCAACCTGAAATCTTAATCCACAAAGCCCTCTGCTCCACAAGCACCTTGGTTGGCTCTGGCTCACACACCCCTTGTGTCCTTAATTCTTTGTCTCTGACCTATTTTATGGCCTCAGTCTCTCAGTGACCATCGCAGATTCTCTGTGCCTATTTGGATGACCCCATAAGTGGGCTTGACCAGGCTTCCTTGAACACCGTCCCCACTGAGCCAGAGAACTTAAACATCATTCTCCCATTACAATCTCATCCAATATTGTATTTCTTTATTTACTTATTTGTTTTTGTTGTAAGAACATGTAACACAAGACCTGCTCCCTTAATGAATGTTTAGGCGCACAATGCAGTATTGTTCACTCTAAGCACTGTGTTGTCCAGCAGATCTCTTAAACTTATTCATCTTGCATAACTGTAACTTTATACTCATTGAACACCAATCCCCATTTCACCCACCCTCCCCCACTGTCCCTGGTGACCACCGTTCTTCTCTATGCATCTGTAAGTTTATTTTAGACTTCTCACTTAAGTGGGTGGAATCCTGCAGTTATTTTTGAACAACATTTAGATTCACAAATTTCATTTCTCTCTCCTCATGGGCAGTGAAAGCCCTATGAGAACAGGGCACTGTAGAAATTTCTTCATATCTCTGGCAGTGTTTACAGAGGTGCCTTGCAGGGTTTGGAATTACAGTTAGCAATCATTTCTAGTTCAAACAGTCTGATAAAATGATCTCCTCTAAAGTTATTGAACATACACATAACTCTATGATATGACCTTGTCCTATTTGCTGAAAAAAGAAACCAAACAAGAAAATATCAGAGCTATTTTGATACCCACTGATGATATGCAGGCTCAGATGTAAAACCAAACTCCCTATAAAGGCTGTTTGAGCTATGGAATTAAAGGTATCTGGGGAAAATAAGAAAAACCAAGGTAAGATTCAGCTCTTCTGTCTTGGCCTCAGGTACTTCTATCACAAGACCCTGCCCTACCTGTAACATCTCAGCTTGTGGGATCACCTCATTCATGAAGACCCAGTACCCTCAGAGGGAGATGAAGCAGACATGGTTCCAGCCACAAGGGACTCACGCCTGGGTGCAGAAGGAGAGCTGAGGGAGGCTCTTGGAGAAGGTGCCTGTACACGGGTCCTTGGAAATGGTTGAAGGTGGATGGAGAGGATGGGGGAGCAGGTATTCCCAACAGTAGGACCTGCCTGGACAAAGGCAGTGGCAGGCAAGGAACAGCTTGGTCAGCCTGAAGAAAGCCCAAGACAGCTGAAAAAGATAGGAAGCTGGCCACTCCCCACTGCCCAAGACCAGAAGAGGTCCTGGAGGTTGCTGGAGGGGAGAGGAGGGAGTTTAGTCAGCATCTCAATGAGGATGGAATGCCTACCCCACTCCAGGAAGAGGAAAAGGCACAGCTCGGACAGGCAGTGGGGCTGGACAGCCAAGTCTGGTCCTTGAAGGAGGACAATCTGGGGATCTTGCAATGAAGGAGGAGGCAAGGTATGGGTTGACTGGATGGGACCATGCTGGATGTCCCTACCCATGTGTGTCCTGTGCTCCCAACATGCCCACCCACCATGGATATACCCTCCCCTCTTTCTAGATCCATCCTAATGGATGGGAGGCCCTATTAGCCTAAAGCCATCTCTGATAAAATCAATGAAAAACTAAGGCTAGAGCAGATTCTACTAGGTTAATCTGCTAGTAGAAGTGCCAGCAGGCAGAGGCAGGAGATGTGTCTCCTGATTCTGATGGTAATACCAACCTTAGAAAGGCCTCAAATTTCACATACCAGAAAGTTATTGTGGCCCTCTAAATCTGTGTCCCAGTCAACTCTTTCCTCCTCAGTTCATTCTCTTGACTAATTAGCTAATTACTAATAATCCAACGAAGTGCCAGAGAAACAGACAAAGGATAGAAACCTTCAGATATAAGGACTGCCAAGGGGGTAACTGCCCCGCTGCACTGAAATCCTGCTCTCCGTTCACAGATGCCTCACACCTTTGCCCACTTGGAAGCAAGAACTGAAGACCAAGATCTCAGGATTGGGGAGCCCTCTCCCTTCTATGACTCCTCTTCCTCCCCCAACTGAGGACAGGGGTGTTCCAGGTGGGCTCAGGCTGGGGTGGAGAACCTAGGGATCTGTCTGAGCTGGCATAGTGCTGATTCTTTACCAAGACCTTTCCCAGGGCCTTCCCACCTTGTCCTCAGCCACTTCCTGTCCTGGAAGCCCCCCCCCCCCAACTTCTCAATGCTGCCCAGGTCTCCCTGGCCTTCCGAGTAGCCACCCCTTATAATCCGGACACAGTAGCCAGAGCAGAAGTCCAACTATAGGACCCTGTTCAAACCCTGCATTGTCCTTCCATCAGCCTCTGTGGGAAACCCAGTGTCCAGGCTAGGATCCTATGACTTCCCATAGGGGCAGGCATAATGTCCCTTGAACATGTCGAGCACACTCATATCACAGGGTCTTTGCCCATGCTGCCACATTTTTCAAGTCTCTACATCAATGTCATTTCTTAGGGAAGATACTCCTAACTGCTGTACTTACAGCGTAGTCTGCCACCCTGTCCCATGCCACTGCTATTCTTTTCTTTGCAGCTCTCATCAATACCTGAAGTCACAACATCTGTTCACAGATGACCTAATTGTCTCTCTTCCTGGAATATAAGCTCCAGGGGGCCATGACTGTCCATTGCTATGTTTACTGCACTTAAAGCAGTCTCTTGCACACAGTAACACGATGTATTTAGTGAACAAGTAAATAAACACATTCGCTTTTAAAAATACCTCATCTGGGATGTTGCAAGATTAGGATCAGACTTCCAGCAGGCTGCCCTTGGTCCCAGTCCAAGGTGGATATACCTCACCTTGGGGTAGGCCCAGGAAGCCTCCAGGCTGGGGCTCTGCATGGTTGATGCCTGAGGACCTGGCCAGCCCCACCTCACAGAGGTAGGCCCAGCACTCAGCAAGGATGACCACAACACCAGGATGTCCGAGGGTCACAGGCTACTGATATAATACAAGAGCAGGTGGCAGACTCTGGGCCCCTGGGTCTGGCTATGGGAATCCGTGGAGCCCCCCTGACTCTGCAAGTACACTGAGGTGTCCAGGAGTGAAGGCCACCCCACCCCCACCTTCCAGTGTAAACATTCTCCACCCTCCCACAGGCACAAACACATGCTCCAGGCTGGCAGCTGGGCCAGGCCCCGCCTGTCAAACTGTTTTCCTCAGAGTGCCTTCCTGAGCACTGCTATTTTTGGCCCTCGTGACAGTAATTGATGACTGGAGGAAAGGTATAAAAGCGGCCAGCAGGCTTCAAAGTTTGCCAGACAGCACAGGGAGAAGCCCTCCATTGCAGACATTGGATATCAACCCACAGCGCTTTGTCCATACCATCCTCTTCCCAGTGACCCAACACTGGACACAGGGCTCGAGCTGCCAGACTCCCACCTCTCCACCCTGGAGCTTTCCGGGGCTTCCCTTTGGATAGGATTGTCCTTGGTCGTCCAGCTTCCCTGCTACTCCTAGATCTTTGAGCTACAGGTAAGAGAGAGTAAATGCTCTCTGATTTGAGATAAAACACAAGGGTTTTGTTTATTTTTGAGAGCAATTGTTAGCCTTGACTTGTACAATCTCTCTATAGGATAGAGACTAGAATGGGCTGCTAATGGCAGTCTGCCGGGGGCTAAGTGCCACATCTGCAGAAGGCTTTGATTTTACAAAGAGCTGTCACACAAGAGGTGTTATCTCATGTGCTTCCCACAGCCCCCCTGCCAGGGTTATATTTATAACCCTGTTTTATGAAAAAGCAAGTGGAGGCTTAGAGAGATGATCTTGCTCTCAAAGTCAGTAAATGGCAGATGCTGACTTTAAGCCCAAGTTTCTTCTGATCCCACATTTGTGCATTTGGGTTCTCTTTTCTGTGCACAATCTTAAACCACAGTAATAAAGTCTTTAGCACATGTAGTTTTAATGTTGGTGGGAAGGATGAACCCAGGAGTCTGATTCCTGGTCTGCAGATTTCACATTGCTCTCAGGGCACTTGATTCCTTCAGACAACCTCAGATAATGGAGGGGATACGGGGGTGGGGGGAGTTGTCGGGATGGCATGGCGGGTCTTCACCACTTGTTCTCTATCGGCCAACAGGTTGCTGCCTCTGTTTTACTAGAAGCAATGAGGTCCCGCCTTCTACTTTCTGTGGCCCACCTGCCCACAATTCGAGAGACTTCAGAGGAGATCCTGCCGGGGGGAACTGGGCAGGATCCC